ATATAAATTAGCATCCTTTTTTGAGTGGAAGTGGCTCGGCATAATGATGATGATTATAAGGTTGTGAGAATTTATTATAATTATATGAGCTATGTTATGTTTTCACACATACACATAAATGCATATGAATATGTTCATGAGATACCAGGTATAAACTAGGTTCTTTCAAAATTCTATTGGTGGCAGTTTAAATACTTTTTTGTTGTTTCTAATGGCTCAGTACCTAAAGTGCCTTTCCAAGGTAAATTAACCAGGGAAATGTGCCAGTTTTGACTTCACTGTTCAAAGACCGCATTCATTCTTCTTAGATTTAGCTCTCCATTTGCTGTTCCTCAGCACTCTCTATAGAATTCCAGCTTGCTCTGCCTTTCACCTGTCTTTTAACAGTTTCACATAGATTGGTTGGATCAAGTCCATTGCTCCAATTGTATGGAGCTTAAAAAGCTCCACAGTGCTCCGGTCTCCCATTGTGTCTGGCTCCCCTGAGTGCTCCATGGACAGCGTTTCACTTGTGCTTTCTGTTTTCTAAACACACTTATGCCCATTCTTTCTGAAGACACTTGTTCATCTGAGGCCTCATATTGACTTCTCCCTGTTCTGTGTCCTTAAATAAAAATGTACCATTAACGTCGATTGAGCTCTCGCAAAGTCCTCCGTAAAGCGTGAAAGGCGATGAGAGACTATGCCACAGTGTTTGCAAATACCTGCTTGAGCCAAACTGAGAGAAAGAAATGAGAAATAACTGGAAATTTAAAAATGATATATATTAGCAGAGTGGTCTTTTGGGGTTGTTCATAGAGAAAGACAGTTGTGAAACATTTTGGAGGGAAGAGAGAGGGACCATCGAGTTACAGTTAAAGATGGTGCAAACAGTAAAGCCAAATCAGTAAAAGTATCACAGAGAATTTCTGGAAAAAGAAAATAAGCTCATTTCACAGCAAGGAAGATGTACAGCACATAGGCTGTGAACACACTAGCTACAGGGTTTAAATGTCACCAACTGGATTTTTAAAGTAAAGTAAAGCTGTTGTATTTATGATTTATATACAATAGTAATATTTCTATTTTTCTTGTTTTAAACAAATCCTGGTATAGAATGCTTTTACACATTTATAAACATTTATAAAGAATACTTTTACACATTTATAAATGTGTAAATACTTTTACACATTTATAAACGTAAAACTAAAAACTAGAAGAAAATGTAGAATGATGGGTTTATATTTACATAACTGTAAAATCATACATTTTCATACTTGTGAAAACCACCCCACACTTTGTTTACAGGCTTGTGCTTGGTAAAAATGTAACTCATTCAAAAAATGTACCAAAATGTGTTATCCTGATGCATCTTTAACTCAGGACACATGGAAATATTGTCCCAGTATAGGATGGACCTGAAGTAAAGTGTGTTCTAATTTTCACCCTCCCTCTATCTTTCATGGAGCTCCCATCACATCGCCAGCCTATGGGCAACCATATGTGCAAAAGGAGATTGTTAATAACTGTGGCTTATGTTGAATCAAAAGAATGTATACTTAAGGTGAGGCCCAATAAACATAAAAGGTAAATAATTTCATTTCAGGTACACAATAGTTTCAGATATATTTCTACATTTCTTTGATTAGCTATTTTATTTTTGGGTTACAAATTCTTATAGTTTTTTTTCCTATTAAATCATTAATTAGTTGTAAGCAAATGGCAGTACAAAACCAACATTTTAAGATAAAGTGCATTAGTTGAATCTAAGATCTGTCTTTTGAACAGTTTACAAAGTGAGTTAAAAGATTAATGCTATCATGACATAATTAATATTTTTGTAAAATAAAAATATGGAGAAGCAGACAGTTTCTAGTAAAATGGCAGTGTGTTCTTGGCCGATCTAGTCATAAAAAACAGCTGTGAACTTAAATAGCAATTTAGTGTTGGTTTTCTTTAGAAATATTTTAGTAATGAAGCAAAGTGTAGGAAGATGAACAAGAAAACAGTTAAGTGCTTCAAGGCTGTCTGAAGTCTATAGGGTTTTTACAGAAACAACTTATTCTGATGAAAAACCATTTTCATAAACATATGGACTTAATCCATAAACAAATGGACTTAATTAGATTCCCTTAATAACCAAAGGAATTCAACCATAGGTTCTGCCTCTACTCATAGAGTACTAAGGAGAATTTATTTCCTATTATGTCAGTAATATTTAACTGAAGCTCTAATGGAGATCTAACATTTCAAAACATTGAATGCTTCTCATAATGTATGACAGCTTATGGGTGATTAACAACATGCATGTTGAATATCATTAGTGCCTATAAACATATATGTAGGGTACACCTGCACATACTAGGTACCATGTACATTTTAGAAAAAAAATATTCACAACCATAGTTAATTCAATAGAAGAATCTAGGGCTTTAGAAATAGGGCTGTATAATTACTGGGTAATTATAATTACAGTTAATTGTCATATGTGGATATCAGAAGGTTAGCTTCCCATCACGTACTTTCAGCTCAGCATTGTAGGCTCTTACTCTGTAATTAAAGCATGTTGGATTCTCATATTTCAGGTTGTGTGTGGACTTGAAAATCAAGTGATAATGCTTTTAATTAATTGCATGCAAAATACAATTTTTACTGAGAATAAAGCGACACTACGTGCATTGTAGAATTTCTATGTTAAATATATTGGAAGAAAATGAAATAGTTTACAGTCTTTATGTTCACTGGCTATATAATAAGCTAACACAAACTGCTGGCTAAATAGCACAAAATTATTAATTGCTAATTCGTGTACTGAAAAAGCAATGAATTTGGAGTGGAAAATATCTAGTATTAGATATGTTATATGGCATCCTTTTTGTAAGCCACACTTTCTTTAGGGAGACAGTCCATGCCATGCTTATCTATGGGGTGTATTAGAACAAGTCACTCAAAACGTCTGCCAGGAAAAGAGGACATCTAAAATCACTCCTATAAGAACATCACTTGCATTGTGTGATATTTCGTTTGTTTTGTTAAATAGGAATGGACGGAGACAAAAATATCGACTAGGAATAACATTTAGCTTAACCCATTTGATAGTCCCAGGGGAGTTGAACATGTCAGGGACATCTGCTGTCATGGCAGAAAAAGAATTGTAAATCCGTTGTGCCAAATCATGCTCAGAATCACTCCCTTACTGTTTTTATGTAAATGCACCATGATTTATATGAAAAGGCTACTGAAGGCTGGTTCTGTGTTCAGTGTGTTCTGCACAGCCTCAACCAATGCCTAAGCCCATGATTAGGATTATTCCTTGTGTCACTATCAAATTATGTATTTAAGTTATTTTATGCTCAAGAAGAAATTTAGATGTAGCTAAAAAGAATATTTATAAAATGTCCCCGAATTTTAAAAAATGAACATAAAAAATAAAACATAACATTTATGAAAAATTCATAGGAGAAAAAAAATATCCCCAAGTGTCCAGTTTGCATGGTGTGTAAGTTATTCTTATTATTATTTTGCTCTTGAACACATCTCCCCAGGGAAAACATATTACACTTTTTTATCCTAGTATTTTAAAGTTTGATATTCATTTACAATTGTAACAGGAAACAAAGAGCTCAAGAGTCCTAATTTCATGCTAGGTACACACTGTCAGACACCAAGAGTTGGAACCGCAGAGCAACCCAGACACCTTCTGGACAGCTTGAGAACTGCACAGTTGTTCTCTGAACAAAGGTCCACAATGTACTGGCTATTGAAAGACCACACACTAAGAAGTGTAAAATCAATCTATAATTAGGTTTGAAAACTAAAATATCACATGATTAAATTATAAAAGCCAGCATTTAAAGAATAAAAAGCACGAAGTTATTGCATGCACATTGAAATGACAGTTTCTGAAATACCTTTGGAACTATTTTCAGGTAGATTATAAGGTATGAACAGTCAGATTAAAAACTGCTTATGTTTACACTAGGAAGATTTTAATAGTATGAAAACAACATGCAATGTGGAAAAAATACTTTCCTGATATCGAAATATGAATGGCAACTTAGTCATCTTTTTTTTTTTTTTTTTTCTGAGACAGGGACTCTTGTAGCTCAGAACATCAAACTGTTCCTGCCTCTGTCCCCTGATAACTGTGGGCCACCATTGCCTGACTTACACAGGGATAGCTATTCAACCCAGGGCTTTGTGCATGCTAGGCTGGGCAGGTACTCTCTCACCTGAGTCACGTCCCCAGCCCACTAGTCATCAACTTAAAGAAGAGGAAGCAGCAGTGTCCGTAGTTGAGTATATTGAGGAACGAGATCGATACCTGCTTTCTGCACTGATCTCTAGGCAAGTTGACAGTTGTCCTGGGGTGCTTTTCTCCCACTGCAAAGTATAGCCCTAAAAAGTAATCTGCGGCAAAACTCGGCCAGCGAAACTCACCGTGCTTTAGCAATAGTTGTGTTGATCTGCTGCTTCCTACTCTCAGAAAAATAAGAGAATAATAATAAAATAATAGAGCAGTCTCACTTCCTAATCAAACAACTGTGCCTGCAGTGATGTGATTTTGCAAGCGGTCTGAGGCTGAGTTTTGACCTGTAGTCACGAATTGAAATACCGATGAAATGGAGTTTCATCCAGTTCTAAAGGCGTAGTTATTCAACCAACCCAAGTGAGTCTTCAAAGACAGGCCACGGGGAGATCTCATAACCGACTGCTTCAAATACCGGAGGCAAGCAATTGCATTTCTGGCATTTGATTCATGTCCTTCCACTTTCATCTTCTCAGAGAGTATAACGAGTGGCCCGTGACTGCCACAGAAATTGGGGCAAGTAACTATAACAACCATAAAGTTTAAGTGAGATTATGTTAATGCTAGTGTCGGTGATGCCTGGAAGCAGCTGTGCGGTGTGTGGCGTCTGAATTGCATGTGCATTCAGTTCCCGAAAGACCACAGGGAGGATGTAACCTCAGGACTGTGCAGGAGGAGGTCGGCCTCGAGATCCACCGGAACAGCCCGTTACAGTGAGGGGGTCCGCGCAGGAAGCTGGACCTGCGACAGTGGGGCCGCGGGGAAGCTGGAGGGCGGCCAGCTCCCGGAAAGTCAGGCGGGGAGGTGCTGCACAGCGGGGGAGGCGCTGCACAGCGAGCCCTAAGGGGGTAGGCTCTTCCGGTTGGGCTGGGCGGCTCGGGGTAGCCCTACGCTGGAGGCAAGGTAAGAGGGTACCCTGAAGAAAGCCTGGAACGTTTACAAAGTTCTCTGACTTTACGATTTCAGAATGCTGAATTTATTTGCTGTTCAAGATACAGGTGAACGGCACCACACGCCCGTGTGTGTCGGAGGAAACGCGAAGGTGGTTGCTCTGTGGTTAAGTTTGGTGTTTCTCACTAGGGAGTGCTTTCTATTGTTGGAACACTGTTCAACCTTAATTGTCACTTTAAACCCTTTGATTTATTATACAAGTCTATGAGATTTGGCAAAGGTTTCGTGTATGCGGGAAAGAAAGTTGTTACGTTAAGAGCTTTTTTTCCAGCGAGCAAAGTACGCAATAACAGTATATGGTAAAAGTCACTATTTTTATACGCCGTGAGAAACTTTGGAGAGCTTTTAAGTGGAGAAGAATGCTAACAGCACACGGATCGCTGTTACCTTCCTTCGTGTTGCTGGCTCTGGTACATTTGTGCAGTTGGAGATGTAATGGTCTGGTGCGATAAAAGAGGAGGAGACAGACGACTCCTCCGAGCTGCCAAAAAGCTGTTTCTTTATGGATGCTCCAGGATTATTTTTAAGAATGGCTCTATTCTTTTTCTTTTTTGTCTGAAATTAGGAATTCACATAGTTACAAATTATAAAATAGTAAGGAGCATCAAGGAGTAAAAAGTCAGGTTGCCCTTAAGCTCAACACATGTTTTACAGTATGAATTACAACTTTCAAGTAAAATATAAAATTAGTTTAGAAATGGAGACACAGCAAGGCAGGAGGGTGGAGAGATTGGGGGCCACGTTGGACTACACAGCAAGAGCTTGCTTCAAAAACACACACACAAGCTAGGTGTGGTGACACACGCCTTTGACCACAGCATTTGGGAGGCAGAAGCAGTTGGATCTTTGTTAGTTTGAGGCCAGCCAAGTCTACAGAGTGAGTTCCAGGAGAGCCAGAGCTGTGTAACAAGGCACCGTTTCAAAAACCAAATACCCCCACCAAAGAAAAATAAAAGGTTATAAAATTGCCACTAATATTTAAATTTCTGTAAACTAATCAATTTCATTCATAATAGCTGTTCAAAAACTGTAGATGTCCAGACCTGTGTGAAAGGGACCAGACATGTCAAACTAAAATTTGAGCGGTATAATCAGAACATAGCAGAGTAAGGATTCCCCCCGGCCCCGAAAATCATAAAGAAGTGCTAACAAAATTTAAAGGAGGATGTATGTATATGAAAAGAAAGTTACAAAGATGAAACCATGAGAAAGAGACAGGTTGGGGGAGTGAAAAAACCAAACCAAACCAAATCAAACCAAACCAACCAAACCAAACCAAACCAAACCAAACCAAACCAAACCAAACAAACCAAACCAAACCAACACCTCTAAAGACACATCACTCTCAAGAAGACTAAAAACAATTTGAGAGGTTCAATTGGTTTGGATAGTTGAACCTTTTGAATGAAAACATAATAATCCTCATTATGATTAAAATCTTACTGTTATTAAAATCTTACTGTAGAAATGTGAAAAATAAAATACCACAACAATAAAGTCTATTAATTTCATCTGTGTCTATTAATTACATCTATTTGTGTGTGTGTGTGTGTGTGTGTGGTGTGTGTCAGGGCTGAGGTGGAGGTAGGGGTTGTGAGTGGTGCATTCAGGAGTGGTTTCCTCCTTCCTTCACCTGAGTTCTGGTGATCCCACTCAAGCCCTCAGGCTTGACAGCTGGTGCCTTTACCTTTTGAGCCTCCTCACTGGCTCCTGGTTTCTCTTGACAGGCTTTTCCTTTAAATATAGCCGGCATGTCTGGTAATCTCCTATTTTTACTAGGCTCCTAGATACTTTTAGAATTGTCGTGGTGATTTTGAACAAAGAGGGAAGGAATGCAAAAGATATGCTCTTAGGCAGGAACAGCATCTCTGGCTGTGCCCAAACAGAGCTGGCGTGGATCTGTAGTTAGAGAGGAGGTTTCTTCTAAACCGTAATTAAAATGAACACACAAAGTCAAATGCTATCCCTGCTCTTATTTGTTTACTAAACTCCATGCCTTAAAGGCCTGCTTCTTATACTCTTCCCTCATGCTAGCTTTCACTGATAATCCTGAGGAAAACCTGTTGTCTCTTTGGAAGATACTCTCTGTGATGACAAGATTCTGTGTTTTTTTTGTTTGTTTTTTTTGTTTGTTTGTCTTTTAAATTTTCTGATTTCTTCTTTTAGCAGAATTCAACACTGAACTAGTTTTGGTTATTCACTATGACATGTAGGAAATGTAAAATCTTTGAAAGAAGTCAGGAAATTCTTGTCCACACTGAGAGTGATCAGTCACAACCCATGAGCAGTTAAGTAGCATACAAATAGTACTACAGTTTTTGAAATTGGCATGGCCACAGTCAAGCTGACAAAACATATAATGCAAATTAAACCGTGCAATTTTAAGTAACCTTAGAAGTCAAATGAGATGGCTGTTTCAAATGAGGTTTTTTTTTTTTTTTTTTTTTTTTTTTTTGGTTTTGCTTTTGTTTTTATTGTTGCTGCTGCTGTTGTTTGTTTTTACATTTTCTCTGCTTTACTGATCGAGATATCAAGGTAAATACTGAGACTCATAGCTAAACTTTGGGCAGAGTGCAGGGAATCTTATGAAAGAAGGGGGAGACAGAAAGACCTGGAGGGGACAGGAGCTCCAAAAGGAGAACAAGAGAGCCAAAAAAAAAAAAAAAACAACAAAAAAAAAACCCACCCAAAAAACAGCCCTGGGGGCTCTGCAGAGACTGATACCTCAACCAAGGACCATGCACAGAGATAACCTAGAACCCTTGCAGAGATGTAGCCCATAGATTCAGTCACTCAGTCTCTAAGTTGGTTCCCTAAGAAGGGCAGCAGGGGCTTTCTCTGGAATGAACTTAGTGGCTGGCTCTCTGATCACCTGAGGGGATAGCAGCCTTGCCAGGCCACAGAGGAAGACAATGCAACCAGTCCTCATGAGACCTGATAGGCTAGGGTCAAATAGAAGGGGAGGAGGACTTCACTAGGACCAGGAGAGGGGCCCAGGGGAAAAAGAGGGAGTGAGGGTGGGATTGGGAGGAGACTGTAGAAGGGGACACAGCCAGGATACATATTGAATAAATTGTAATAAATGATAATAATAAAAAAATTAAAAAAAAAAGAAAAAAGAAAGAAAAAAATACCTTCAGCTTCAGGAGCTAAGGTGAAGTCAGGTCCCAAGAAATGGCTAAATCCAGCAGGCAGAATAACATTTGTTATTTTAATGGCAGAGGCTTTAACGTGGCAGAACGACCCAGCATCAGTAGGAGAGCTGGTAACAGGAACTAACTACACAACACAAGAAAACAGTTAAGAACACCAAGACGGATTTAAACAGGTTTAGTCTTTATCACAAGCCCCAAGGCACAATAAACTTAGAAAAGTACTTTTACATACCCGCCTAAGCTTGGGATTGTTACCTCTGAAATGTGGACAGAACTGGGCCCTTGCAGGCACAGGCGTGGCATCCCTCAGTCTTATTTCTGGTTTGCTTTTTCACACTAGACTGCACTCAATCACTAGAAGCCACAGGTTGGTGGCTCATCCTACTTCCAAAAGCTCTTAGTAGGGAAGAGCAAAACTGTGGACACAAGAACATGTTTCCTGTAGAATGCTTCTTTCTTTCTTTCTTTCTTTCTTTCTTTCTTTCTTTCTTTCTTTC